CTCTTAAAATAGACTCAAATTTTCTTTTTATTCACCTTCACTGACAAATCACCTTATTATATTGTTAGCTAACCTAGCTCCAGAATCCAAGACTAACACTTGGGCCACTAGAAAGATATTTGGTGCTTTCCCTGATATTGCACATGCACAATTACCAATTATGAAAAATTTTTATTTAGTATTTTATCTAGTATTTACTTAATGCACACTGATTGTTTAATATCGTAACATAATTTAAACAAAGTAAGCTTTAATCTACCTATCCTCCAGATTCTCATCTTAATTATTATTCTATGCATACTCAAATTTCCTTTTATACAGATTTCAACTGCATCACACCCATCTTAGTCTGCTATATTTTTTAAATGTGAGTGGCTGGATTCATCATCCTTTTGCACTTAAAAGCAAACTGGAGTCTTTGTTTTAATTTAAACACCCTTTTTTTAAAAAAAAAATAAAGAACAATGATTGATTCTAAAATAGAATATTCCATGGGGAACTGCAGTGTGTTTTTTAAATCAATAAACTGGAAATTAACATATTTAAAATGTATGCTTCTTTATAAAAACGAAAAAATATCTAGCCCTAGCTGGTTTGGCTCAATGGATAGAGCATCGGCCTGCAGATTGAAGGGCCCTGGGTTCAGTTCCAGTCAAGGACATGTGCCCAGATTGCAGGTTCGATCCCCAGTGGAGGGCATGCAGGAGACAGCCAATCAATGGTTCTTTCTCATCATTGATGTTTCTACCTCTCTCTCTCTCCTTCTCCCTCCCTCTGTGAAAACAATAAAAATATATTATTTAAAAAATCTAAATTTGCTTCCCTAAAGTTTTTACACTATTTATTAGTAATAAATCTTTTTCATCCTTTGTTTACATGGTCAACTCCCATTCATCTTTAAGCTATGAAAGGACATCAGCTTTTTTATGGAACTCTTTCTAACACTCTCTTCCCACATATTTTATCTTTAATTTGCACTTAATCCTATTATTTCAAATGGAATACACTGTTAATATTGGTTTATGTGCCTGTCATCCTTAATGATGTGAATTTAAGTATCTAGAATACGGAATAATATTTTGTATTTGGATATTGGCAAAAAGATGTTGAAGAAATAATTGTTAAAAAGCATAACCAAAACTCCGCACTTCCTAGGAAAATATGTAATTTGTTTAACCCTTTACTGAGATGATTCTTAATTCCTAAGATTTCAGGTAAATGACTAAAATCAGATGCCTTACTTTTGGGGTTCTGCAGGTTATCTTATTCAAATCCCCATCAATCACATTGCAGGTTTCGTTTCCAACTAATACCCTTGAATTTTCATTAAAGCCAGTTCCAGATAGAGTCAGACGATTACCACCTACATAAAGAAGAAAACAACCCAACAACAACAGAGTAACTATAACAACAAGAAACTTGGGCAATAATCTAACCCATCATTCAGGAATTGTCTAATCATCCGGGAGATGGGTTGGCAAACAGATCAGGGACCAAACTCGAGATGTATACAACCACACCACACACCCGAGCCTGCGCTCTGAAGCTGGGCTAAGCAATTTAATGAAATAACAAATTTGCAACCAGCATTGCTTTTGGGACATTATCAGCGGCAATTATTATTTTTCCCCGAGTGCCTCCTTCATACTAAAGAGAAATTATGCTGTTTCTATTTGCTCAACCATTCCGTGGTGGGACATGAGAGAGAATTCAGACTCTTACCAAATCCCAAATGTTAACACCTCTAAATAAAAGTTAAACTGAGAAAACATCCCAACAAAATAAAGTAAAAACACAAAACATGCCAGAAGTTCAAGATCAGCACAAAATCCAAAACTAACCACTGTAAAACAAATAAACACAAAATTCAAAGGAAATGAGACAACAGACAAAATGTGTTATTTTCTTCTCATCTTCTGCGTCAGCCTCCCTTTCCCCGATTTGTTCCCAGAACCTTTTCTGGGTCAAGTAGCTCCATGGAGACTATGGTTACAAATGGAGCAGCTGGTAAGCAGAATAATAACTAATAAATCTTATCTTGACATAACTGATGAGCTTGTTCTAGAAACATGTGATAATTGATGATATTAATTCAATAACCTAAGATGTAAGTATAAGCAGTCACCCTGACTTGTGCTTCGTAAGAAACAAAAGAACTAGTCAGCCATTTAATCACTCTGACTCCTAAGGGGGAGTCTCTTTGTTCTATATGAGGGAGGTTTGGGTTCCTCTCCCTCTACCCTGTTCTGGAAATAGTGCAATGAAATGATGGAAATGGATGCAATGTTCTTTGTTTAGAACAATTAGCCATTACCTGCTAAGCTCCCAGAAACAGGCCAGATGTGTGCGATCTGACTCTGATACATGAAGTGGAATTCCTTGTCCTCTACGTGCCGTGCTAGTCCAACGTCAGCTATGGACACAGAAACTGGGAAGTGCCCAGCACTTCCATTCAGGATCTGGCACTTGATCTCATTTTCTTGGGATAAGAAAGAAGAAAAGGATAAAGCCAATGTTTTTATGAGGTCAAATTATTGAAATGTCATATGTGCAAATATAAACATTCGCCTTCATTAGTATACACCCAAGAAATATACCTAAGGAAAACTACTCAACTATTAATGAGAGAAAAAAAATCTTTACAAACTACCTGAAATCAGAACTCCTGGAAAAGAGTTAGAAAGAAGAATGATGAAACCAAAGTAAACAATTTGCTCTGATTGCTACTGTGGCAAAAAAAGGGGATATAATAACTTAAAATTTTAATCTGTAAGACCATTCATATCAATAATTTCTTTTAAAAATTGGTTCAATATATTGTTTGTGTCTGTCCCAAATTGAGTAAAATGGTTTTTCACAGGGAAGGTGATTGAATCGAAATGAAAACACCTTCTCCACTTCATTTAGAACAGTATGTGTGTACTTGTAATACAGGTGCAGAACCAACTGGTAGATCTCAAGCGTGCATACAAGACCTAACTGAAAAACAACTTGAATTATATGAAAGATGGATTTGCTTCCATAGTTTCACTTGCTAGAATTAAGAAGTACACCTAGGATCAGGGAAATAAATACTTATGGCCCTCATTTTTTCATGAGCAGAAAAGGTAAATGAACTTTAAATTCTGTTCATGGATAGAGTTTCTGTTGGACTAAAAGTCAGGGAAGATGGCCACATCCTCTTCCTCATGAATAATGGGGCATTGTCAAAACATAGGCAGAGGGACTGTGGAATGCCAGAGCAGCAATTCACATATTTCTGTGTCCCAGACACCCACCAAAGAAGAAAAGATTTTATGTAATCACTTTATGAAGGAAAAAGGAGAAAAATCAACTGTCATGGGATAAAGACATGGCACAACAGTGAAAGGATTTGTTTGTGGTCACAACCAAAGATTAAAAAGATAAAACATTTTCCCAGAGCAGTTTGCCAATTTCATGACCCCACAGGTTCTCCTATAGGATAATTCCACTTTCTCTTAGAGAAGATCAATTACACTCAGTAAGAATAATTTTTAAAAGAACCTACCATTCACAGAAAGAAGGGAGCAACCTATTGGTCCAACTGAGATGGAAACAGCTGAACTAGGAGAGAATCCAGAACCTGATATGGTTAGAATTGTTCCTTCTTCAGAGGACCCTGAAAAATGATGTTTAAATAGCAATGTTAACATGATAAGACATAGAACCTGTAGTTATGAAATCAGATATTTCTCAGAGAAAAATAAGTATTACCTTTTAAAAGATATAAACAATTAGCCTATAAACCAGCAAGGGTGTGGGGGGTGACGCATTTATTCAGCAATGGAATTTTTTCCAGTTAATTACTCTACATTGCTTTTTATTTTGAACCTGTGTATTAATAGAGATTAGTGGGAAGAATTATCTTACTGAAAGTATGAAATAAAGTAAGGAAAGGAAAATGATGCTTACAATAAAGAAATTAAACAAACATCTCTATATGGTGACTTAGACAATTTCAGAGCTGCCATCACAAATTCAGGAGAAAAGGATAAACAGTGAAATAAGTGTTATGGACACTTCCCATTTAAAATACAGTAAGATTCCTCTCTCTAGGGTGAGATACATCCTCAATCAAGTGCCTCAGAGATTCCCGGTTTACACTTGCTTTCCCAGCATCTTCTACTTAATAGTTTCCCATTCAACTCTTAAAAGTATCCAGATTTGATCAATAAATGATAGTCACCCTACTTACATAATATCACACACAACAAAGATCCCACATGGATTTAAGTAGCTAAAAATAAATAAAAAACAAGACTAAAATTTCAGGGGGAAAAAAATCAAATGACTTCTTTTGAGTAAGAATTAATTTTTTCAGAAAGTACAGATAACATTGGAAGTTCATTACAAAATACAAAGATAGATACAAAAAAAATAAAGATACCAAAGAACTATAACCAAATTAAAGTTCATCAAATCCTTATTCTTAAAAGTTTTGAGCCCATGTAACACGAATGAACCCAAAGTTAATATCATTACTCTTTAAAAAGCCTGAAGAATAGCCCTGACCGGTTTGGCTCAATGGATAGAGCATTGGCCTGCAGACTAAAAGGTCCCAGGTTTGATTCGAAATATATTCTTTCATCACAAAGATATGCTATTTTTTAAATTTGAAATTTTATTTTCTGATATATGATTATACTTCAATCACTTTAGGATTGTCAAGAGGAGGATTGAGGAGGACTAGATTAATAATGGGGGCAATGGTATGGCCCC